GAGCGTCGTCGCACGCGTGAATCACGAGACCTTCGAGATTTCGGACGTTACCCCTGAGATTTCGCGAACGTTAACTCTGAGTGTAGCTTCATTAGAGCAGAATGGTATATATAAAGAGTCGAAAGAAAGCACAAAAGGCAGCACTTCAAAGGCAGCACTTCGGTAAACGAGGTAGTTGTAAAGGAGTCCTTTTTAATTTTTATACTTCAGCTTCGTGAAAGCTTTGCGAAGCCGTTAGTAGTTCTCTGCGTTTGGGAAATATAACAGCAAACAATATTTCCAAGGCAGAATGAAATTTGCGTACTTTCCGGTCGCTTTTGTTTGCATTACAATGAGAGTTTATTATCACATGCAAGCCCCTTTTTTCGCGTTCAAATAAAGTGTGTCATATTGTTTAGTTTAATAACGCTCATGTTCCATAAAAATATTTATCGATTATACAAGCCGTTATGCGCATTGTATATCCGGCAATAAAATGCAAAATGAGAATACACCGCGTGTACATAATTTTTTTTTAACGAAATTTCAATGCCTGAAATTATTACTATTTTATACTTTATCTCGATCCACCGTAGCGCGCCTTTGCATCCTTATCTTAATGATATTAAATGAGAAAATCATTGACGCGCGCGATCTATCGATTACGCTTGCGAAGCGCTCGTCCCGGTCTTTTCCATCCCCTTTCGTAAAGCTCTCCCCCTTTAGGATGAAATCCTGCTAGTAAAATGCGATTACGTCTATCACATCAATCGAATAGTTTATCTTTTAAACACTATTCGAGAGAGTTGGACAGATATCAATTATGGTGTCTAAAGTCTTCTTAAATATGTCGCTTATCAGGATATATCCAAGAAATGCAATCGAGGTTTTATTATGTCATAAAGAACTTTTTTATATCTGACACGTAAAGAGTCAAATAGCTTGTGTCGATCGCGATTAAAAGATTATTGGTATCGTTCTTTCAGTAGCTTACTATATTTTATTGTCATTAATGAGAGAAAAATAGTGATGTAAATTGGAACAAAAAAAAATTAAGATCTTGTTATAATAAAAATCACATCTATCATTCGTTTTCCAACGCTTACAAAAAATTAGTGAAACTTAACAAACTTATGAACTTAAAATATTAATAAATTAACTATTTATTAATTAATTTATCTGTCATGTCTCAATCTAATTACAATCCTATCAATTATACAATATAGATATTATGGCCACAAATCGAGTTGTTTAGTATACTATAATTAGCATTATTTGATTCTCAATTGAAAATAATATTGTGTATGCTGATCTTCATAGAAGATAAATATATAAATCAATTGGACCTTTAGTAAGATAGCACCTAAGTGCGACGAACAGATACGAACGTCGGCCATCGTTCGAATTTATCGTGAAACTTTCACGGCAAAGGGATATGTTTCAAAGGATAAAATTTTTGGCAGTGATAAACTTGTTTGTCGGAAGGGAAATTTGTAATGGTCCGTTCTGCTCGCGACGCTGCATTTTTGCAGAAACCTCCGCAAATGGCCCGCAATGCAGCTCGCGTGGGCCGCGAAGTGTCCCAATTGCGAGGACCGCGACGACGCAGCGTGCACATGTGCGATACGGTCTCTGTATATTTGTCAGTATGTAATCTATATATATATATACTATATTACTCAATGTACGAAGCACATTAGTTACAGATGCATAAACAGAAAATAGCGCGTTTCTGTTAGCTGAGAATCACTCTTACAAATCCCTTGGAGTTTCTATTTCTTCTGGGACGAAAATCTTTTTTTATCGGAAATAAATAATCTTTTTCTTTTTATATTTCTGTGCATTTGTATGATCTTAGCCGATATTTATTTTTAGCCTGAATTCATTTATTTATGTTCATTAAAATTGAAAGAATGAGGAATTGCACACACGCGCAATTTTAACATCTTTCGTAGAAAAATTCGTAAATTAGCGCGTTTTGATGACGATATTGGCGATTAAAGGGGATAGCGCGAACTATCGGGAAATGAAAGATTTCATTTGCGGAACACCATGCGTTTTGCCGTTCCTCTCTCTCTCTCTCTCTATTTCTCTTTTTGATTTACGTTCTGTTTGATCGAACGCCTGTCCGTTCTCACGGTGGATAACGTACGATAGACGGCGATAGATCAATTCCGCACGCGAGTGTTGTATCGCGCGTTGTCGCGCCACATTTATGCCATGTTGTTTACAAATCGTAATTTTATTTCGCGTACACGTATTAACACGGAAGAGTTTGCGCGGATTGATTTACATGCGAGCACAAGCCCCAACTTCATCGAATTTCTAACCGAATCCTATAGTAACGTAAGCCTCACATAAAGTCAGCGAGATATCAATCGCGAGATTAAAGTCTCCTTGTCATTAACGAAAAGAGATACTAATAGTTTTGTAAGATATTTTAAATCGAAAACAGAGATATTTGAACAAATTCGTCATTATTAATAACACAAGCCAAATTATTCAATTCGATATCTTTCTGTTGAACATATATTATATCTTATATTGCTATTCATCCCGATTAATGGATGATGTTAGAACTTGGCACTTTACGGAGTTTGAATAGTGAAAAATCGCAAGGATCGCATTACTAAGTCGCAAACTGAATTGTTCTCGGGTTGAAGTAACCGCACGGTAATGAACTCCGTGCGAGCTTATTTCACCGGGACGGATTAAAGGTATTATTGATTTTCCCGCAACCGGGCGGCGGGTTGGGTTCGAGGTTTTCATGAAATGTAGCACTGGCCTAGTGATATGTGGAGAGTTCTTCCTGCCAAGCACTCTGCGTAATTAAATAGTGGCCGTGCCATGAAAGATTGCACTCATCTGGGATCCATTTTACGGTTCATACACGAAAATATATAACGAATAATATTAATTACATTCATATATAATACATATGATGTTAAACGTAGTCTATTTTAATAATGGATTAATTGAACAGCAGTGTTCGCAAAATATTGTATCTGCATGAAAAAGAGATGGTCTGATAAATAAAAAAATTAATAATTGACTTTTAAATGGTGTATAAAAAATAAAATGTAATAATTTTATATTTTTAAGTAATTAATTTACTTATGTTTTAAAGCAATAGAATCCAAATGCAAAAAGTGACAAATATTACTGAATATAAATTATTATATATTATTTATCATGTATTATAAAAGAGAAATAATAGCAAAAAATAATTAATTAAGCATTTTTCTTAAAAAAAAAATATCATTCTCATTATTTATTTAGGATTTATCTATATAAAAATGAATATATATGACTCCTCTCTAAAATGAAATTAATGACAATAATCACTTATCAAAATCTCGCAAGGAATCAAATGTAATATTTATCTATGTGAAAAATGCTAGAGTTAACACGTACAATGTCTCGATCGCGTGAAAATCCGTAGAATCGTTCGAATCACGATTTTCAACTCGTTCTGAGCTAATAAAAGTCGCAACTTCGACGATACGGTCCTGATATTCTTTCGACGAACTTGCAAACATTCGCCAAGGCGCTAAGTTTCGTAGTTTGGAAGTCGTGGCGAGTTAACCTCGCGACTACTAGCGTTCCTCGGTCTATATAAATTGGGATATGTGTGGGAGGTAAAAAACAGAGAGAAGAAAAGAGAGAGAGAGAGAGACATAGACAGAAAAAGAAATTTTGTTAGAAATGCGCGTTTCGCGAAGCACCGGCATCGTAAAATTTTTATGCGTCGCTGAAAAATAATAACGAGCATCGCGCGCAAATAATTTTATCACAAAGTTTTTCCGCGAACGGAAAGGTTTTCCCTCGGAGCGGAAATCCGTGCGCGTCGCACTGTTCGTAAAGTTGGCGCACGGGAAAATGAGATATTGCGCGAAACATTTATGACTTGTCGAGACGAGCATCTCCGACATCATTCGCAATCCTGTAACGAATTCATAATGTAATTTTCTGCGCGCTTGTTCTTTTCGTTTTAAATCCCGAAAAAAATTACTTCTCTCGCGCTTTTTAAACCGCAATTTAAACCGTCGGTTATCGTCGATGCTTATCCTGCATTATTTGCATCTCCGATTGGTATCGTCGCGATTACATATTGATGCACTCGTTGTGCTTATCACGCTTGCACAGCTGGTCCAGTTCCGTTGCAATTCGCTCGAATTAATGACAGCTGTTTCAATAGCTAGTTTAGAAATTTATTTTCCCAAACGAGTGGAGAAACAAGTTATTGCATTATTCGTTCTCCATGTTTATTATATTGTTTAAAAAAGAAAAATAAATTATGTATACATAAATAACAAATTTATATATAAATATTCTCTCTCTCATATTGTATTTAAACATGAGAATGATTAATCTGAATGATGAATTAAAATAAAGGCCAATTATTATTACATTTTTAAGACAAATGAGATTTATAATTAAATTTTGAAGAAGACGGATCAAATTTTAACTAAAGTGAACTCCAAATTTGTTAAAAAATCCGCAGATGAAGTTTATCGATCGGCGAGAGATAATTTATATAAAAATATCCGAATCTTTATAGGAGCTATGGGTTAATCATTCGTATTCGTCTCGAAAGGAATTCGGCTGCGGGATAGACGTATTTCACGAACCGAATCCGCTCACCGCGTTTTCTGCATGGCTGCCCTCGAACAGATGATTGGCCTTGCTAGCTGACGATGACTCCGAACCGGGTATTCTCCCGCTTTACACGTCACTCCCGTGCGTGTGAACGGCCGCGAGCATACGCGTGCGTGTTCCA